AGCGTGAGATTGATTTCCCAGGCGGGCGGCGGCTCCTCTCTCCAGCGCCGCCCCCGGCTGTCTGCGGCCGCAGTAAACAGCGAGCGAGCGGCAAGCCAAAGCCGCCCCACCACGTGCCGCTTTCTCTTTTTTCGCCTTCTCCGGTCCCCGCCCGCGCAGCGCCTCTTGGGAGTCGTAGTTCGCTCGGCCGCTTCCTTCTTCCTAGACCGCGCTCTCCCGCTTGGAGGGAACTACGCGCCCCGGCGTACCTTGGGAGTTTGGGGCCGACTGGCCAATCGAAGTGGCGCCAACTGTGGCGCGCAGGTTTGAAATGGCCCAGAGCGCATGGCCCGGCCGCCGGCCCCGGGCCTCCAGCTCATGCGCCCCCTACAGGAAGGAGGATTTTGTTACTGCAAGCTTTGAAGAGCAGAGCAAAAAAGAGAGAGCAGAGTCTGCCTAATTAGGAATTGGGGACAGAAGCACTTAAGAAAGCCTGCAGTTGATAACTGGTGCATTAATACATTTGGCAGTGCGTGGTTCTTGGCTAAAAGCTGCAGAGGTACTGGGGTGTATTTGTGCCTGTTTGCCTTCTGTCTTCTGTTTTATTGCCCGTATTCTCCAGTTAGTAAATGGCATTCTGGTAAACTGCTCTGCCAAGCGGCTTCTGAATTGATGGGACTATTAATAAAACATGTGCATCTAAGATGCACAACGCCGGACCTTTGCGGGTTCTTTTTCACTACTGTGCAGCACGTTCTGCCCTGCCTCAATCACAACACCAGGAACATCCCTTAGCCATGTTGTGGCTGGTTTTGAAGCAGTAAACAGCTTTGCTGGGCTTATAATTACAGGGACTCTTATCAAGCTCTGTCAAAGACGTAAACATTGAGTTACAACGTGTTGTTGCTTGTAAGCTCGAGGCTGCGGTGGGTGATTTTCTAGGAGACTCTGTCTAGGGAAAAGGGGGGAAGATGTTGGGTTGCACTTGTGATCTTGAAATGTCATTGGAGGCAGAAATGGCTTTCTGGCCTTTGGATAAAAAGCAAGTTTAGCTTGGGATAAACCAACCCTATCTGACTTTATAGTAAAACGTTCAAAGCTGGGAAATCCGATTCTTTTTCAGTGATATTGGCTGGTTTTGTACCACAGAGCAGGCAGTTTGCTTCTTAGAACTGATATATGGGAACTAGAAAGAAATCGTGGAAAATTGCCTGCCTACCCACCCAGCTTTTGTAACTACACGGATGTGAAAGAGAGAAACTGCTCTTAACAGTAGATCAGAGCTGGCAACTGGATTTTAAAAAGCAAATGACTGAGGCTTGGCCCTGCTTTTGCCACTGTTTTGTGGTCCCAACAAGAGGCACGTGGGTAGGATCAGCTAATTGGGTTCAGCCAGAAGCCGTTTGTGACACCTTGAGAGGTTTAAGAAAGCGCCCTTGTGTTGTGCGAACGACTGGAGCCTCGTCTGATCCTGGGAAGAAAGGGGGCTTCCTTATTTATGGCCGAGCTGCACACACACCGTGTCTGCATGTTAATGCTGAGCTCCGTGGAGAACGCGAGAGGGAAGAAAAGGCGGTGTTGCCAAGCTCGCCTCTGGCACCTTGTTTTTCTCCGAGGCAGCGAGGAGGAGCGTGTCTGCCGAGGGCTGCTGGACTGTGTTTATACGAGGGCTCCCTCCCCTTTCCGGTGGGGAGCTGGAGGTGTTGTCGTCAAACCGTAGCGCGGCTCTTTTCCAGCTCTGAGCGCGGGACTCAGCGCAAGGGTTTCGGGTGGGTTTTTCGGGGCAGGTTGCTGCCTTGCCAAAGAAATGCACGCTCAGCAGACCGCTCGTAGGGAGGGACAGGAGAGAGGCGAGCCGGTTCTCCCTCGAGTAAAACCGCATAACGTGCCCCCCTTGCCTTGGAGAGTTCCGAGTCTTGAGGGGCTGGTGTCCCCGCCCCCCCCCACATTGAGCACAGCGTCTTGCTCTCCTGGAGAGGCTGCGTTTGGGGTGATGAACGAAATTGGGCCGCCAGGAAAGCTGAAGCACGCAAGTCACCTGCTACGCCGTGGTTGTGTTGCATTTGCCTTTTTCCAGGTTCCCTCGTTTGGGGAGGGAAAGGGGGTCTGGCCTTCTAGCTGCCTGGGAATAACACCAGTCCTGTTGGGAGGCTGGAATCCTAGTGACTCATTCTGGTTTATTTCTGCCCCTTTTAAGGACTTGAAAGAGAAGAAGGAAGTTGTGGAAGAGACAGAAAATGGCAGGGATGCACCAGCCAATGGCAATGCCGTAAGTATCTCCCCTGGAATGAGGGGAGGGGGCTGATAGGAAAAGCTGGGAAACTCCAGTTGAATTTCCTAAATAGTAGAAACTTTGCTGCACAGTCCCATTTTTATTTCCGGGCCCTGCTGTGGATTCCTGGAGAGGACGAGGATCCCTCCCTTGGTGTCCTGCTGAGCTGCGCAGTGGCCACGTTCGCACAATTCCCCAGACCCAGCTGAAATAAGTGGGGCAGCTCAGGGTTTAGAAAGCTGTGGGGAACCCAGCCCTTGTAGAGCTTTGTAGCACCATCACGGGTTAATCTAGGTGACCCTAGTATGTTCTGCAAACACAGCAATTCTGTTTTGTTAACTCAGGTTTATAGTGTTGTGTGAACCCAGGAAATTAGTTCCTGCCTCTTGTTTCAAGCATTTTATTTATTTAGAGCAGTGCTTCTCAACCTTGGAGACTTTAAGAAGTGCGGGGTTTACTTCCCCATATATCCCCACCCTCTCCGACCCCCGCGCGCCCGGCGTGGGTCGGCAGGGGAGTGGCGAAACCA